TAAATGTAGAAAACCAGCTTAAATCCGGAGTTGGTAATATGACTCAGACTGCTGAATGACTTCGGAGGTTTATTAAACAGGACAGTGTGTGTTCATGTGCCCTGCAGTGTTTGACTCATCAACAGTGTTAAACCCACACACACAGCTAATTACTAAGATCTCAGTGTGTAGAGACGCTACCACACACACACCACCTGTACTCGTCCGCCCACACTGCTTAAAGGCTCGTCACTGGAGCTGTTCTTTTATATGGAACTACACTGTGAGAGTGCGGCTGAGAGAGCACTGTCCTCCTACATAATCATCTACACCAAGATTCCCCCTTACCTCAGTCAATCAGACAAGAAGACAGAAGTTTGCTATGTGTATATATATAATTATTATAGTAAGATATAAACTGATTAAAAGCTACAGAGAAAATGAGACCCTAACAACCACCTAGAAGAGCTGGTCGACCCCAAAACTGCCCCCATCAGATAAACAGCACTTAAAGCTTTCATCTCTGAGAGAGAGGAGAAAATCAAGCTGATCAGATCTGAAAACATCCACAGGTGTTTCTGTCCATCCTTCCACTGTGAGAAGACGACTCAGCGCTGTGGGTCTGAAAGGATGTGTAGCTGATCAAGAAGAACCTCACTGAGAAAAGGAGACGGACACATCAAACAAAGAAGCTGAACGATGGACTGACCACCCCAGAGTCCAGACCTCAACACCACTGAATGTGTTTGATTACTTCAGAAAATCATCAACCAGCTTCTAAGACTGAACTTTGGAGGTGTGTCTGCAGATTCTTTGAGGAACTGAAAGTGAGTCTCCTGAAAAGAGAGGAAGCTGGAATGAAGGTGAAGGAGTGACTCACTGAACACTGTCTGTGTTTACATGCAAAGATTTCCTCCAGTCCAACTGAGAACATTCCGATTACAGATTTAGACTGAGGTGTTTATTCTCACTCTACTCAACAACCAGCATCACGTGAGTCCAGTCAGAGTGAGATGAGCAGCAGTGAGCAGCGCTTGTGTTTTTAACTGCTTTAAAATGATGTCAGACTCAGGAAAACGTCCTTCACATGTCCTTATTAAAGAAGGCCGAGAGGAAGACGTCGTGTTCTGAGACACATAAGCTGGACGTCCGTCCCACCGCTGTCTTTTAAAGACCAGAGCATAAACTTCGTCTCCTCTGTAGACCAGTTTCTGCTCCGCCATGTTGAACGGTATAAACTCTCACTGTGACGCGACGAACATGATCAGAACAGACTTAAACTTTCCGATAGGGAATGTAATCAGATACAGGCGTTTACACGGATATTATTCTTCTATTTAACGGATTATTTACAGGATTACCCACCTCGATCAGTCAGATAGAAACTGTATTATATTATTCAGATTGATATACTATTCTGATTGAGCTATTAGTCTGATTATTAGCGGATTTTCAGGCTGCAAGTGTACGTGGCTACTGAAACATCTGATATTATATTTAGTTGTTGAGGCGTCTTTGCAATGTTCTGTTACTCATAAGCTGCATGTGCTGCTCTTTCATGGACAAATGAAACACTTTGTACAGAAGTGTATGTTCAGTTTACACTCGGAGCAGAAGAACGTGAGACACTGGAGATGAAAGTTAAAATAAGCTGATGACAGTTATACAAAAAGAGGGAACATTTATTTTGGAACAAATTATGAGAAAGAAACTTTAATTGGAAAGAGTTAAGAGGATAAACTAAAGCACAGTGACGCGTCTTCCCTTCTTCTCTTTCCGTCTTTGAAAACCTTTCATTCTGTTCATTTGTTTTTCTTCTTCTGTTGCTGTTTTGTTTGTTTAGTTTCCTGAATGTCCAGTGGGACAGAGCTGTTGGGATTTTCTTTTATGAAGTTCCTCAGATAAAGCACTTTGCATTTCTTCATTCCCACAAGTTCATACAGTCTGTTCTGAAGTGGAAACTGAACAGAAGCTAAATAGCCCAGTCTTTCCTTCTGTTATGATGGCCGACAAGACGCTATTCATAGCACAATTAAAACCACTTTGCAAACTCATAAACGCGCTGCAAACGCAGAAAACACTTTATCAGCACGACGTCAGAGCTGCGTCTTACAAACGCACTGCAAACAAAGAAACACAGGCAACTTCAGAAACGTGGCAAAGCCAGTCAGACGCCACGGACGTGTCTGAAACACTCGAAGGGCTCAAAAGGGAAGGGATATCTATGAATATCACTGAGTGTGTTTACATGCACTTAATAATCCGATAACAGCAGAAAATCAGATTTTGCCAGTAATCCAATCAATGCGTTTACATGCACTTGAGTAATCAGATAATGGGGAAACTCTGGGTCTACATGAGTCAGACAGTAATCAGATTTCTGTTTCACAGCCAGCCAATAAACTCACAGAAGAAGACGCGACGTAAACGTAACATAAAACTCAAACTTCACTTTTTTTTATATATCACTCACTTCACCTGAAAATATGAACAAAAATCATCCAGAAGATGAAGAAAATTAAAATCCTTCATTTTGTTGAGAATGTATTTGGTTTCAGTGTCGCTCCAACAGTGTTTCGCTGCATTTCGCGCCGACGCTGCTGCTTGTTTCCGGGACCACCATCTGTTTTCGCACATGCTCAGACTGAGAAATCCGAAAGAAATCAGAGTAACTGATTTCTCAGTTTACAGCACTGAGAAATCTGATTACTGAGCTAAAATCCAGCCTCTTTATCAGATTTCTTAATCAGATTTTTAGACCTTACTCTGATCTAAGAAATCACAGTGTGCTGTTTACATGATCATTTGAATAATCAGATAACTGCAGAAATCCGATTATGATCAGATTATTGAGTGTGTGTAAGCCGCGGACACTCACTTCCCGAGTTCCTGGTTAACCTGGCTGTGCTGTGGTCGTTAATCTGGTATTACTAGTTAAACTTTTATAGTTACTCTCTGTAGATAATCCCCATCACAATACAGTGATATTAATCTGCTAAAATAAAGACGACTTTACTTTTACCGCTGAATGTTTGTGCTGCATAGAATTTAAAAGTCTGAATGTGTTTGTCGTCTCTGAGTGTCCTCCAGAAACATCTCCGCTGTGTTGTGACTGGATTATCAGCGTCTCTGTGTTTCAGTGTTTCTATGTTTTGCTGATTTTGCTGTCGTTCTTTTCACTCAACGTTCTTCACTCTCTCTGTTGTATGATTCTGATTCTTTGTCATTAACCTGGATTACCTTTATTTAATGTGTGTTTATTTATCCTTTGTTTAAATCAGGGGTCAAACTCAACCAATAAAAGAGAAATTAAATTAAAAAATCTCAGCAGATCTGTCAGCCAGCTGTGTTTTTATTTCATTTTTACTGAACGTTTTGCCATCCGAACCGGCCATTGCTTATTCAAAATATGCCAAAACTGCAACAGCAAATAGACATTAAATACTTATTCAAAAAATATTCAAAATAAAATAAATTGTTTTAGGTAGTTTTTTTTTTTAAATCTGCCTATTTATGTGAACCAGACATCTGTTCTTTTTTGTGTAACCGCCGGCCCATAGACTGTTGTTGGGGGAAGGGGGGGTCAGAACACACTGTGTTGCAGTGCTTTCTGGTCTTGACACATGGGGTTTAAGCGTTGCAGTCACACTGAGATTAACTGTAACATCCGTTCACTCTCCGTCCTGCTCTTTCTCTGTTTTTGCTTTTTGCTGGTTTCTCAGTGCCGTGTGTTTTTGTTTGTTTGCCACGCGCCTTTGTTTTCTTATAACATGTGCCTTTGTTGTTTTGGTCTGTCTCCTCCCTGGTCCTGCCCCCTTGTCGCCGGCTCCACCTGCATGTAGTCTGTAGCCCCGCCCTCATATTAGTCTCAGGTGTTTCTTGTTTCCCCTCAGTGTATTTATACCCCTGTGTTTGCTCAGTCCCCTGGTCTTGTATTGTCTATATACCCTGTTGTTTTTGCCTCTGGTTGTAGGTTTTGTTTCTCTGGTTGTAGGTTTTGTTCTCTGGTTGTAGGTTTTGTTTCTCTGGTTGTAGGTTTTGTTTCTCTGGTTGTAGGTTTTGTTTCAGTTCTGTTTTACTTTGTTTTGTTTCTTCATGGATTTATCTGTGCTACGAACCTTTGCTGCTGAGTTTCTGCTTTTCAAATAAAAGCAACTCGCACTTGCATCCTGCCTCATCGCCTCCTACGTTACATTAATAGCGTCTGAGACAAAATAATAAAATGTGTAACATATAATCCGGTTAATAACGAGGGTCACTGAAAGTCAGTTAACCTCTTTCAGGGCTCCTAGTGACCATTCCTGCAGTGCAATAGAAATGATCTGGGATATTTATAGCTTGTAACTAGCACTGTTTTGAAATGTGGTGACTCTGTGTTGAGCTGCTAGTGAGCAATGAGGGGGCAGCGATGTGGAAAGACAATTCACACCTCTCCACAAAGACAGTCGCACTGATATGAAACAGACAACTGCAGGTTTCATATCAATATATGTGCAAAAGTCTTAGGACATCTATGAAAATGATATATAAGACTTTATGTGGGCAGTGAGTGATTATTTGTTAAAGTAACAAACGTTACAATAAATCTACATTAACATACATTAATGTATATAAATATACTATATACTATGTATAATATACATAGATATACATTTCCAAAGTCCAGTATATACAGTTACCATCCAGTACCTGGTTTATCTGATCAGTCCTTCATTAGATTAAATCATCCATTTAAAGGCTAGAGAGCTGTGAGAAGTCAGGATCCAAACCTCTCTGTGCTCTTCTAACTTACATATTCATAACTTTACTGAAATCAGTACTTTCTGACTGCATTTGAATGTATTTGTTTATTTGTGTTTATTCTGATGTTTTAACGGTGTATTTATTCTAATGTGCTCAAAGATAAATGGTTTTTCTGGTTGCCATAGACTTCTGCTCTGTTCTGTAACTTATTGATGATTTGAAGTTGTTTTATTCATAATTAATTAATTATTTTATGCTTTTATTTTTTTATTACCCAGGTATAATCCGCCCTAGCGACGGTCTCCATGCTCGTTATCCAGTGGAGGACTACCTGGACCTTTTTGATCTTCCAGCGCATCAGATACAGGACCGTCTGCTCGCCAACAACTCTGGAAGCTCAAATCAGGCCAACATCATTATCGGTAATCCATCTCCCTCGTATAGAGCCACTCATATCTCCAGGTCCAGCAGACTGGACACTCCGGCTGATCAATAAGTGATGCCAAACAGGTTGGAGATGTTTGAAAGCTTTTCATATCAGTAATGTTGGCCTGATAATTTCCCTTGAACTCCTGGAGATGAAATACATTAACTTTCAGCTCTTTTGAACTAAAAACTAAATTAAAAGTTATCTTAAGGCTGCTGGACGCGTCGCGCCACGAGGGCTGTGCCACTCAGTGTAGCTCACATAGCAGATACAGTGCAAAGCGCTGCTGTGCTGTGTTGAATGTGTCACAGTCAGAGCACCATTAACACTCCGCTCTTATTAAATTAAAGACATAAAACTTTCAGCATAATTTATCACGTTTTGCCGAATGCCTGATATCGTCTCCAGCGTGTGTATCTTCATTAAGAACACTGGTTTCACATTTTTGGACGCTGCGCAACGCGTCCAGCATGCAGTGGCGGTAAGTGCTCAGAGCTTCTTGCTGTACCGTCTTACAATCAGAATTTAGTCTCTTTTTAACATGAAGATGATATTAAAAGCTATTTTATCTTGCTAGAATGGCATAAGAGCTGACTTAATTATAAATGATTTACAACATTTAAAATCAATTAAAATAAATGAACTAGACAGATTCATAAATTAGTCACTTTAATAGGACATTCATAAACTCAGTCATTAAATATTTCATTAAAATAAGTGCAGTCTTTTTAAAAATCTTTGTATAAAATATATATAAAATATATAACTTGTTTAAAATATGATCTGTATTAGAGTTTCTGTGATTTTTCCTCATCACGCTAAAATTAGCTGTTATGAACGCTTTCAGAATGATTAATGGATAATTAAACTTTATTATAATTTGAAACTATTTATTAGTAAGTAAGTAAAAGCAGCAGCACTTCTAGACGGAGAACAGCAAGCAGTAATTTAGAACTGATGACCATCAAACCAGCATAGGTTAAATACAGCAGGAACCACACCAACAGTCTAAAATGCAACACTACAGCGTGTGTGTGTGTGTGTGTGTGTGTGTGTGTGTGTGTGTGTGTGTATACTGACAGTAGAGCCGCTCAAAATTACAGTATATTCATGGTAAATGTTTTACAATATTTTACTGCGTATTAAATTTACAATAATTTGCTGTAAATGTACTCAACTCTGCTGCCAGTAAATTACTGTAAATTGTGTTGTCCAGTATGTTAAACCAATGCAGCATTCTAAGTATGATCCTGTAAAATAACTAGCCAGTATTTTATTATAAAATAAGTACTTACAGCATTATTTATATATATATATAATATATATATATATATATATATATATATATATATATATAATATGTATGTGTGTGTGTGTGGTGTGTGTGTGTGTGTGTGTGTGTGTGTTTTACCAGTAAAAACACTCTATGACATTAGAAAAAAGTAAATATAGATATGAAGAAGGACGTTTACAGTTATATATATGTAGGTTGGGACATTGGTACGTTGGTTAGGCTCCTGACCTCTCACAGAAGTGCAGAAGTGTGTTCTCTGTATGGAGTGTTATCTTATTTTAATATATAAAACTACAAATGCATGTCATTTGACCAGGGGCGCCCGAACTTTTGCACACAGTGTCCCTCTGATTTGCAGATGTATGTTCTGTATGATGCGCTCACAGAAGCTGAGTGACCGGTTTTCTCAGAACTCTATCTGAGTCGGTTCCTGCAGCATGTGCGTCTTTCTGTTCCAGTGGTTTTGTGTATCTGAGCTCTCAGTGTGTTGTGGTGAAGTGTTTCTCAACGTCATCCTGTCAGCCTGATCTAATCGTGATTTGTGGTTATGAGTGATTACACAATATCGTCTTCTTTGAGTTGCGTTTCTCACCATTTATCAGACCGTACTCGAGCTCTTCAGGGCAACTGCAGCAACTGATTCTGTGTATTTTGGCGAAACACGTCACAGAAACTGATCGGACTATTTAGTCGGTCAGATCCGGTTCTGTTCTCTAGTACTGAAACTGTTAATAGTTTCAGTGTGTAATGATGAGTCATATCTGGTCGCGCGCAAACGGCAGTTCTTCCTAATTCTGCTGTCTGTTTTTTGTGACGTGAGGCAGAGCGTAGTAGTGTCAGTCTGAGTATAGAGCAGAGCTTTCAGAGTGTGTGGTCAGTGGACATCATGTGACCATCCATGTGTTGATGACTGAAGTACATAATTTCTGCATTTTCTTGAACTTGAAACAGAAACTCATATTATGCGTACAGTACTGTGCAGTACTCAGTCATTTCCAGTCAAACGGCCATTAAGCATGACTTCTTCAGGAGATGTTTCTGAGTAGATTAGATATGAGATAATCCACCTGCACGAAGAAGAGGACAGTCAAACGAAACTAAGTTGAAAATAGACGTTTCGGCCACACTTTGTTTTGCTGGTTGCCTTATAGAAGATCTACAGATACTTAAATTATTTCCAGATTTTCTGGTAATAATTGATTATCAAGATTATAGTTAGCAGTGACGTCTCTGGGGTCTGGCCCCACCAGATGTCGCTGTGGAGCAGTGCACGACATGATCAATAATTCAGTGTAACAACTAATACATATATTTATTTCTCCGTAACTAACATTGTTGCGCGTTTATTCCATATGATAATGGTCAGGCTGTCTGATATATTCCACATATCTTCCTTTACCTGTTGTGTAAAAACCAATAGGCTCCCTGTTTCTCCTAGCAGTCTTGGTTTGGTGAGTGTGGGGCCGGCCAGCGTCCGTCTAACCAAGGGAGCAGTTAAAAACACTCTGAGCATGTTCCACACACTTTCAGTAACCAGCTGTGGGCCCGATCACAGTGACCCCATGCTGAGAGCAGCCAATAAAACATAATATATTTACATACGTCTGGACGCTCTTGCTATACTATCACTTTAATTCAGTCATGGATTGGTGACTTTGGGAGGAAAGCTTTTGACAAGCTTGAGCTGAAAAATTGTCCTGTATCTTTTCTTTTCAGCAGTGACCGTCTCTGGTGAGTCATTCTGCATTATTACAGGTCAAGTTATTCCTAATGTCCGGAAAGTGTGATTCCCTGCTCTGATATGTAGTTTGGATGTGTATTTGCAGACACAGTGATCGTTTACTGATAGATAACTGTGGATTTGTAATGTGATGCTGTATAATAAGGTTTTGTGAGATCTGATGTCATAACTGTATCACTCTTATTCTCCACTTCCACCGACTCCTGCATTGCGTTACGTTAATCTGTGAATTTATGATTTCATTGATGGACTGTGTTTGTGTTTGTGTCCCTAAAGTTTATTGTGCTCCACCAGGCTTTCTGTGCCAGAGATGACACTAATATTTAGGGTTAGGTTTTGGGGTAGAGCTTAGATTTAATAAATCCAATTACATTTCATGTACATTTAGTTAAATGTTAAAGATAAAAAAAAAATAATAAGAGGGAAAATAAAATGTTACAGAGGTTTTCAAAACTCGAGTCAAAAATGATTAAAAGCTAACACTTCAACACTTACACCTTAACAGAAACACACAAAAGACTCAACAACTCATAAACCACCTCAGTTTCTTTTAAGTATGTTCACACATTCATTCCAGCTTCCTCTCTTTTCAGGAGACTCACTTTCAGCTCCTCAAAGAATCTGCAGACACACCTCCAAAGTTCAGTCTTAGAAGCTGGTTGATGATTTTCTGAAGTAATCAAACACATTCAGTGGTGTTGAGGTCTGGACTCTGGGGTGGTCAGTCCATCGTTCAGCTTCTTTGTTTGATGTGTCCGTCTCCTTTTCTCAGTGAGGTTCTTCTTGATCAGCTACACATCCTTTCAGACCCACAGCGCTGAGTCGTCTTCTCACAGTGGAAGGATGGACAGAAACACCTGTGGATGTTTTCAGATCTGAAGCAGCTTGATTTTCTCCTCTCTCTCAGAGATGAAAGCTTTAAGTGCTGTTTATCTGATGGGGGCAGTTTTGGGGTCTCCCAGCTCTTCCAGGTGGTTGTTAGGAGACACATTTTCTCTGCAGCTTTGAATCCTTCTTTGAAGTCCAGTCTTGGAAAGGGACGTTTTTGTCACTTATTTTTCTTTAACTTTCTCTCACTCATGCAAATGGATTATCTTTTATCTGATCTCCTCAGAAATATTTTTCATTTCCTAAAGCTGAGTGAATGGCGTTCTGAGAAGTCTATCTGCGTCGATGTTCCTGCAGCATCGCGTCTGTATCTTCTAGTAATTTAGGGAGTGTTTTTATCTGAGCTGTCAAACAGTGTGTTGTGGTGATGTGTTTCTCAACAGCATGCAGGTCTTTCAGGTGCTGATTGCTGTTTTGACTGGAATTAAATAAATTGAAGGTGGTCTCTGACTTTTGCCCAGTACTGTATTTGTAGCTGTGATAAGGTTGCTGCACACAGTAAACAGTCAGCTTGGGAACAGGATGTCCCAGTTTAGAGGTATTTGTCGTAAGGAGAGAGAGAGTACTAGGAGCAGCGTTCATGACCGGGGTTCTGTGTTACATTGACAGCAGTATCCGGTTTGGTGAAGATCCGTAGCTCCAAACTTCCTGTTGACCTCCGAATCAGCCTTGTGACTTCATTTGCTGTTTATTTCCCTCCCGAAGACGACAGGAAGAGGAAAGAGTGAGATTGGAGAGGAAGAGTATAATTAGGGGTGGGTGGATTAGAGCCTGCACTGTCCAGGCCTGTTGTTTGTTATTCAGTCTTTAGTCAGTATTGTGATGATGTTAGGACACTCCAACACATCACCAGAGCTGTAGTTCACCTCTTATCCCCGTGGACATTAAGGTGACTTTTATTATGGCAGACATTTAATGGAATAAATCTAAACATCTACTTACCTGAGGTCCAGGGGATCCAGGTTTCAGGTAGCTGTAAAAGAGGGAACACATGGCGATAGTGTGTATGTAAGTAATCTACACCGATCAGGCGTAACATTCTGACCACCTCCTTGTTTCTACGCTCATTGTC